AAATTATAGTGTATTTTACAGGGAATCGTTTGGTATTTGTTAGTAAAAAATTAAACAGAAAGATCTATTTGGTTATTTTAAACATTAAAATGATCCTAAACATTTTCAGTTCCTTTTGAATTTCTATGGTTTTATTCCCGAAGTGATGTGCAAATGGCGAATTGCAATCATCTCTTTTCTTTCACTATTTTTTATTTTCAAATAGAAAGTTTAAAAGTAAAGAATAATTAGAATTTGGCATGGGTCGGTCAAACAGGCTGAATTTCAAGTTTTGGCCCGTTTTGATCAAGTCTAATTTATAATCACAAGGTTCCCTGATACTCGATAAAAATCTCAATCTAAACCAGTTTGGCAGGTGAGTCCGTATTTACCACCATTTTCCAGGGATACGACAACGACAGTTCCTATCCCAAATCGTGTTGTTCGTTCTTGATTTTCTTAGATTTTATCATGGCCTGACAAAAACCAGAAAGCACAATGACGACAAGATGAAAGTTTTATAAAACAAATTAATCGGCCAACGGGCCGAGTAAACGCTAGCAACGATTGTGCGATGCTCATTTCCCGAAAACCGACGAGATAGGCGATTTTTTATTCGATTTTCTGGAATTCGGTTTCTATAAAACTTACTTCACCTCATCATATTACCAGAAACAATATTGTTTTACAAGATAAAAGGTACTTGATTTTGATTCATAAGGCAGGTTTTTGATTCATTGCATCATTCATGTCTCTTTCCTGCTAAAATTCATTATTTTTATCACGTGTTTCCCAAAAAAAAAACTATACAAAAATAAGCTACACACCCCATTACTTTATCAAATTTCATACCTCAGCTTCCTCCGGCCAACTGGCCGGGGCCACTCTAGTTAGAATAATAATTAAAGACTATCTAAAAGCCAAGTTGAAAGCTCAGAAGAATCACAGTTTTGACACCTGTCCAAACTCTCAGAAATAGCCCTACTATTTTCTGTTAATTACAACTTTGCCATCTTAAGTGCCACCATGGACTGCATGTCCGTCTATCCTTGGAGACTGCCGCCTGCCCGTATCTATTTTGTCTAGTTCCATGGCTGAATCTAATAATAATAATAATAATAATAATAAACTTTAATGAGAAGGTTATGTCAATCTAAATTAAAAAAAATTCAAAATCACTATGTTTTTTTGTGTGGATTTCATTCCACCTACGGTTAGATAGAGTCTAGAGAAAATGATTTAAATCTATCTATCTATCTATCTATCTATACATAATATTATAGCCATTCAAAAGTAGTTTGTTGCCACATAAGTATTTGGAGAATTTACAAGGTGCCATGGTGGACAATTTTTTTACAAACAAAAAAGTTAGTTAATGATCAATTAATGTAGAGCTATCTATCTTTTTTTAATATTTTCTTTTTATTTTAATAATCATTTATGTAGCTATCTCTATCTTCTTTTAATGTTTTTTTTATTCAATAATTGTATTTTCCAATATATATGTGTAGTAGTAGTATACTTATGTTTGGAGAGTGACATATATTGTAATGCTTCAAAAAATATATTTGATTAAATCTGAACAATTAATTTTTGTATTTCTTTTTATTAGAACTTAATATATGTTATATTTCGATAAAAAATAAATTAAACATACAGATAAGTAATATAAAAATTGAAAAAATATAATGAAGGAAGTTTAGATAATTAACATTTAATAATCAATTGAATTTGAAAAACCAACTATATAATTTTATGTTTTGGTTATCAAACGCTATCTTTTTCTAATGTTTGTATCTACAAACGAAAACAAGTATTAAATAGCAAAATGCTTCAAAAGTTGTTTTTTTCATTTTGATAGAAACTTGATGAAGCCATAGTATAGTACCTGATTGTACAAATGAAGACGATAAAGAAAGACAATGTTTCTTCTCTCTTATAATGCATGCTTCCATACCTTATTTTCTCTTACATTTGTTCATACTTCCCCTTATTTTTCTTAACAGTTTACATATTTCGGTCAAACAAAGGTGTTAATTACACTTAAAAATACATTAAACTCTATATATATAAAGAGTTTAATTATAAACAAAAATCAATGGTCATGATTCGTTAAAATCTATGCAACAAATTACATGCACAATCTTAGGGGTTAAGCTCTATGATTAAGATAACTAAGACCTAGGGTTCACTCATCAAGGGTTAGGGTATAGTATCATGCCCACAAATCCGGTTAATTCGTGGTCCAGATAGCATTTTCTTACTTAGAGTATAAGATCATGCTTAGATATTGACAATAGATGTGGCATTACACCAACAAAATGAAGATATTAGTAAGTAGTGGATTTTTTTATCTCAAAACAAACATCAAAGATAAATAAATTTTAGCAAATGCATATTTGATAAGTTAGAAAATTATACAACAATGGACCATGTTAAGATTAGAACCCTCGACAGTGTGTGAGTATCTTGGACCGAGATTCTAAACCAACATTTAAACAACGACCATGAGTTGAGGGCGAGTCTATATTAAACTTCAGGAATTCACAATTGGTACATATTGTATAAGATATTAAATTGAGTGTCTTGATAGACAAATATGATCTTACACTAAGACAGTAAAATTTCAATTGGGATGACCAAATCTATGTAATATTGAGAGTCTTGGTACATATTAAGTTGTCGTCATCTGAGCAACATCATTGGTTGAGAGTTCCTCCAAACTCGACATTCATTGAATGACATATATTGTATAAGCAAAAAAAAAAAAATTTGATTATCGTTATTGACAAATCTTGACATAAGATTCTATATGGGACGTGATATATCTTTGTGACATGATTTATGATCAGTGAATCGAAGCATTATAAGTGAATGTGTTAAGTATTGAGAATTTTTAATTTATAGACGCACCGCATACTCACTAAAGAATGCAAATGTGAAAATTTTAGAAGATCCAAAATAGTTTAAACATATAGATAAATTGATTAATGTAAATGGTAAAATTAAACTCACCGGCCAACAGGCCGGGTAAAAAGCTAGTATAGTAAAAAGGAGAACTCAAAAGACCAAACCTAATCTTTCGTAAACTTTGCAAAGAGTATCAGAAGTGAAAAGATAGCTCTGTACAATAACCGTTTGTTTGTTGACACGTTACGCAGACAATTATGAGAAAAATTACAAGAATTGGAATTCTTATATGAAAGATGATATGATAGACCTTGACACACAACTTGAGGATTTATACTTTTCTTTGCGCCTTGAAGAAGACTTGGTTGCTCCAACTTCAAGCGTACCAATTCCACCTCAACCTACTAAAGAAAGTGGAAGGGAACCGAAAAGAAATAGAAATGTGTGATGTTATGTTTATTTTGTGAAGTTTGTAACAGTTGACCAAAGGGTATTGCTTACACATAATGGTCAACTCTTTTGTATAGCAATTAGCAAGCACATGAAGAAGTATGTTTGTATATCTAGTAGGCTTAGGAAGGTCTAGACATAAAAAAAAGTAAGGTTCATAACGGTTGACCAAAGGGTTATTGCTTGCACATAGTGGTCAACTCTTTTGTATAGCAACTAGCAAGCATATTAAGAAGTATCTTTATATATTTAGTAGGCTTAGTGATGTTCAGGTCATTATAGCACATAAACATTCTTTAAAATGAAGCATCACATGCCACATATATAAAATGAATATTATGTTTTGACATTTTTTTCACTACTAATATTATGTTTACCTTTCTTATGTATATTAAAATTAATATAATATTGATGCTTTGTTCACGCTCTCAACATCGAGTTCTTAACATAGTATATTAAAAAATAGACGCTCTCACGCTGTCGTTCCCGCTCCCGCTCCACGAATTGGTTACCTAATGTTAAACTATATAGTAAATTATTGAGAGAGAAAAAAATTGTATGGTTAGGTTGGAAACAGTGAGATCTGATCCAAACCAGATTATACATATGTCTATGGTACAGATTGAGATCTGATCCAAACCAGATTATACATATGTCTATGGTACAGATTGAGAACTCGTCCTGATCTGATCCAAATCAGATTATACATCTGATCCAACAAGCATACATAAATTTGATACAGTTAATCCAAGTAAATAATAAAAACACAACGTGCATCATAACGTCATAAACATTAACATAATGTCATATGGAGACACTATTGTCTTTCCTATACGACAATGTGGTTTATGAATGAATGGTGGATGAGACACAAAATTAGGGTTGAGAGTCGGGTCTTGTGAAGGATTTGAAAGAGTGACCGAGTGAGTTGTTAACACGAACTGGAAAGCTGACATGATTCACAATTTGGTCCGGTAAATTGCAATTTAGACCAAATCAAACCAAAAAATAAATACATCATAAGCAAATCAACGTTCTGACCTAACCATCTGATCTATTTTCCCATCACTACTATATATTATCGGTTTTCTACTAAAAGAAGAACTATGCATATAGTATAGGAGCAATTTCATTAAGAATAGTAGGTGGCTTTTTCGGTGCACTTACTTTTTTGGGTGCATTTAGTGCACTTGCTTCATAACCGTTATTTTAAACAAGCGATTTATTTAAAAATGATGTCAATCATCACTTATGATGTGATGAACAATAACACACATGAATTTGCACAAAAACCATTAACGGTTTACTTTAATTTGAAGGATTTAGAGTTTAGAGATTTAGGGTTAGGGTTTACAAATTGGGGTTTAGGAATAGAACTCAAAATTGGAGGTCTAGGGTTTAGGGCATCTGCTAATTAGTTTTTATCATATGTTATATCATCATATTACACTAATTCTACAAATTAAAATTCAAAATCCGACACTTTAAGACTAGTTTTTGAATTGAGTGCATTGAACACACTCATTTTTGTGAGTGTACCGAAGCAGTAATAGATAGCAACTAATATATACAATTGACCCACTAAACGAAATGAATAAAATAGAGTGGGAAAAGGACAAAATTATAATTATAAAAAACCGGAAAATGAGAAATGTCAATAGTCAAATGTGAATAAAAAGAATTCCGAAATCCCCAACTGTCCATCGTCGCCACCCGCCACCGTTCCTCCATATAAAACCGGTTTCGCAGTCGAGTTAAAAGAGAAACCCCATATCGCCGACGGCTGCTAAACAACACCGAAAACAATTTATATTCAGTTGTTCACATACAAAAACCGAAGACTGCGGCTGCGGCGGCGCGGAAAGAAAATGGTGGATCTTAATCAGAGCGGTGACGGTGACTGGCACCACCATTACCACCATCACAACCTCTTGCCGAAGCGGATAATCCTGGTCCGGCACGGCGAGTCTCAGGGGAACCTCGACACCGCCGCGTACAGCCACATACCGGACCACAAGATCCCGCTCACCGAAGCGGGTCGGGCCCAGGCGCGAGAGACGGGCGCCCAGTTACATGACCTGATCTCCTCCGACTGTGGCAATTCAACAAACACTTGGCGGGTGTACTTCTACGTCTCCCCGTACGACCGGACTCGATCCACGCTGCGGGAGATCGGCAAAGCCTTCGATAGGAAGCGGATCATAGGGGTTAGAGAAGAGTGCCGGGTGCGTGAACAGGATTTCGGGAATTTCCAGGTCGCAGAGAGGATGAAGGTTATAAAAGAGGCCAGGGAGAGGTTTGGGAGGTTCTTCTTCCGTTTCCCTGAAGGAGAATCTGCTGCTGATGTCTTCGATCGCGTTTCCAGTACGTTTCTTTTCTCTTTCTACACAAAGGGGTTGCCTTTTATCCTTTGTTAATTATATGGTAATGGTCTTTTTCATTGCATTGTTGGTGTTAAGTATAGAATGGGAATTCATAGACCAGCTTGGTTACTTGTTCGATTAGATGGAAATGGAGCTTGAGTTTTGATCTTGAACTTGTGGATGAATTGCTGATGGGTTGTTTGTGAAGTAAATGAATCACTGATATTGATTAATCTTGATGGCTAAAGAAACTGAAATGAACGGCTAGTAAGATTGTTAGAAATGGTAGTGGCAAAGTGTACTTTGAGGAATGAGTAGTGATGTTTCTTCTGGGAATATGAATGAGGAACTTAATGAGAACAGTTTCTGTTTATGCATGTAGTGGTTGGCCAAGCGTTTAGCATTTGAGTGCTGGTTCTATTCTCATGGCAAAGCGAGTTGCTTTTCAACTCATTCTTGTCATGGTTTTTAGTGTCGAGTTTTGGTTAATTACAATGAGTAAACAGGGTTGTTGATTTGATTCCCGTTATTGTTCAATTTCTGCCTGGAGGCTTAGGGGCTCGGAGCATTGTTTGATTTACTGGGCTCTGGTTTGTTTAGTTGAGGTGTGTCTTTGAATCTAACTTCTTCGACAATTGATCTGTTCATTAGATAAATCAAATTAGCAATGTGCCTCAATGATCTATCACGTCGATCTCCGAAATGAGTGAAAGTTGTTTTGCTTCAACCTTTCTCCATTATCTCTGAGTGTAGGGTCCTTTTCTTCCAGATGTGGATATCTCTAAGGAGCAAAGGCAGTAGCATCATTTGTCTTGTGTTCCTCTTCGCTAAATGTGAAGGCCACTCATCATTTGGCTAGTTAAAATGAAAACTATACAGTTAGCTCAACCTCTAGTTTAAGTATTTTTTTTGTAAGAGATACTGCACAAATTCCTCTGCCTGAAGTCTTAACTTCAGCTGTTTGTTTGCTCCATACCATTTACTTTGATACCATTGTAACAGAAATCCACTACTATTCTTTTGTCAGATTTTCTGGAGTCACTATGGAGAGACATAGACATGAACAGGCTACACAAGGACCCATCCCATGAGCTTAACCTCGTGATCATAACCCACGGACTAACTTGTCGAGTATTCCTCATGAAGTGGTTCAAGTGGACGGTCGAGCAATTCGAGCTACTAAACAACCCCGAGAACTGCGAGTTCAGAGTAATGCAGTTGGGAGCCGGGGGAGAATACAGCCTGGCGATCCACCACACAGAGAGAGAGCTCCGAGAGTGGGGGCTCTCGGAGGCCATGATCGCGGACCAAAAGTGCCGTGCCTCAGCTAGTAAGGGCAATTGGAACGAGAACTGTCCCTGGTTCCTAGACGAGTTCTTTGACCCTCCACTTGAAGAGCTTAGCAAGGAAAATGATGAATGCTATGATCTTTCTCAGGAGTCGAGTCCTATGTCTATAAACTCAAAAGAAGAATAGAAACCCATGATTCTTTATAGAATGCAGGTCCTTCCCATTGTTTGTGTGTACACATACTAGGCTTTGTTGATGGTTTAGTTGGTAGAAGAAGATCAAATGTAATAGCAGGGTCTTTTACAATTGCCAATTTCTATGGTATTGGATTTAGAATTTATCTGTAAAGAAGATAATTGATTGCTTTACTCCTCATAATAGATATCCATGTCAATAGCCGACCAAGTCTTGAATCCTTGAGGGAGGTGGTTGCTCCTTTATCCTACAGGATAGGGCAGTGAACGAATAGATGGTTCATTAGGCAAAAACCCTTTTGCGGGAAGATGGAAAAGATTTTTACTTGATCATTTCACCAAATAGATCCAAAATGCTTAGGAAGTTGTTGCTAGCAAGTAGCAAGCAATGAATTTGCAGAAAATTAACAAACCACAGAAAATCACTCGGTTTGGAGATATGTGCAACAGTTTGAGATTTGCCTGTTTTTACTTTTCACCTTTTTAACTTCAACAGAGATATGAGATAATAAATGAAGTTTTACAGTGGCACCATGGCTTTTATTTATTTTGCCAGGCTGGCTCCATTCCTACAGATAACTACCTCTAGCCGTTCCTCCGTTGGCCCATTGAAATATGTAAAGAAAAAATAAAGGAAAAGAAACAAGGAAGAAAACCCAAACAGAAAAAGAGATCAAAAGGAGTAAAACCGAATTATTAAAGCAAAACCATTTTGGATTAATGTTTAACTTTAACCCCAACAATCTTCAGTCTCTCTCTCTCTCTAAGCTCTAGACACTAATAACTACTCTAAAATTTCACACTTCCCCAGTCCTATAAATCTGTTTCATCTCTTCTCAACTTTTCTAGGGATCTGGGTCTACACCCTTCTGCTGCTGCAGCCTTGCATAATTCACTATCAATTTCCTCAAACAACTCAAAGCTTTATTCTTCTTTTTACCTTCTCTTTTTCTAGACCGCGGTGAAAGAAAGAAAGAAAGAAAGAAAGAAAGAAAGGACCCCTCATTCCTCTTTTACACGTCCTACTACATTTCTATTTTCCACTTCTTACTCTACATTCTTGTTTGAAAGCGTCATAAATGGTATGCGTTGCAGTCAAATTCCAATTGCTTTTGACAGATCTTGAAAATGAGTACAGTCTCAGTAGTATCTCCGTAGATAGATACTCCAAAAATTTCGGTGCCGTTAGCCTAGATCTTGCACTGGGTAGTTCTTACTTCTGCAGAATAAAGAATTGGGTTCTGGATTTTTTTCTCCTTTTACCGATCCGCTCAAAAATGCCGGCCGTCTGAGATTTCGAAGGTGCCTTACATTTTGAAGCAAAAGCCATAAAGTTGAGTTCTTTTTCAAGTTATATGGCAATGGCGCATCCTTCGGAGCATTATGCAAGTTCTCGGAGCAGTGGGGCTGTGAGAGTGAGCTTGATTTTGACGGCTGTGTTCTTGGTTGTGTATATTGCAATGGGGAATCGAGGGAATTCAAGTTCGCTAGATTCTTCTTCTTCCTCCTGCCAATGTGACTGCGATTGCGCCGAGGATTCAGCGCTTCTTGACTTGCCAGCAGGTGAGAGATCTTCTGAATGCCCAGAGACCTGCTTTAATTGTTAGTCTTACCTGGTTTTTCGCTTTTTCCATTTACGGCGTGAACTTGAAGCATACTTGACTGCATTTATATATAGTGATTGGCTCAGAAAGAGGTATCATGTCTCTTAATTAGTGTTTCCTGATTTAAGTTACTCAATAGCTGCCTAATCTCTGCTGTGATGTCACTTTTTTTCTTTCTGCAGACTCTATCAACAGCTCATATGCAGGTTAGTCTATTTCAATACTTCAACTGTTCCTTTAACCCATTTTCTGCTGGATTGCTTGAAATAGTTCGTGTATGCACTGAGATTGAAAGAAGGGTAGGAATGGGAACTTGGGATAAGGAATAATCAGTAGTGAACTTCCATTAGATGCCCTCATGCCTGCAAAATGCCATGGAACATTTTCCTCTTGGCTCTTGTAGATTGGTGCAGTCAATGTTGTCTTTGTTTTCCTAATTGTCTCAATTTTCGTCTGATGCAGATTGCAGTACGAGCGATCCAGAGATCAAAGAAGAGATGGAGAAAGATAGATTAGCCTTGCTATCTGAGGAAATTGTATTGCAGAAGCTAGTAGCTAATGAGTCACTGCAGCGAAGCAAATCTCTACTGACAGAGAGTGGAGTGGTTTACACTCATTACAAGAGGGAAGCAGAGAAGTGTATTGCACAAGTGGAGACATGCGAAGAAGCTAGAGAGCGAGCCGAGGCTGAACTAAGGGAAGAACTGAAGGTCACAGCTTTGTGGGAGCAACGAGCTCTAGAGTTCGGATGGAGCAGCAGCGGCAAGAAAAGAGTGCAGTGATCAGAATTAAGATTTTTTTTTGTTTGCAGAGTTACTTGTAGGTGAAAGCTTGAATAGAAATGTGTTTTGCTGGGCAAGCTCCACTGTAAAGGATTTAGTAGAGACCAACGGAAAGGTTCAATCTTTCTCCCACTTCTCTGCTTCAACTAATACTACTGAGTACTTGGTCCTCTTTTATCTTCCATTTGAAAGGAAAAGACTGGCGAGAGAGAATCAAGGTGACTCCTTAAATATTCATGAATAGAATGAAATACAGAAGTGGGAAATTCCTGATACAAGTTATCATGGAATTCATATATTGCATGGTCGTATCATGTTGCAAGTAAAACTACAGAGGATCCATTCAAAATAATGAGGAATCCTCTGAGAAACATGAAGGACAGAATGGCTGACTGGATTGTAATGTATAAATGTATCTGAATATTGAAATAATGCAAGTACTTTCACTCAGCACCAACATTCCTCTCCAATTGTATAAAGAAAAACTTGCATCTGCTTTGACAATGCTTCTATAATTTAAGTCAAGTATATACTGTCCAGAACTGCAAATCCAGCTGCAACTCCACCTTCGTTTGATGAAGACACCTTTGTCCTCATCAAGTAACCGCTTTTCTCATTTACAATAACCTTATCCTTCTTCCTGCAACATCACAACTAATGTATGTCAACCAGTTTGTTTTAGTGATGAACTTTCATTCTCAGTTTAGGATTAACATACCTCAGATAAGTGCCGTAGATTCCAAGTTCTGATATGGCATGATCTTTATGACAGATTCCATCACGCACCAAAAATGTGGCCGAATCTGTAGGAAAGATTCTCTGCATGAGAATGTAGGCAGCATTTTGTTCTTCTTTTCCATCTTTCCGCAGTCTAAGGAGGGCTTCCCTCACATCATCACCATAGATATTGTTTCCTGGAAAAAGAATATGAAACAAACTTGTTAGCATGTGGAAAGCCAATACAAATAAAAGAGGCAAGTGATGATGATGAATCCAGGAAAATAAGACACCTCCGCCTTCTCTTTGGGGCTTCATCACGAATAGATGTGGCTTTTCAATAGCCGTGTCAACAATATCTGCATCATCTAGACTCCAAAGTCCAGCAAAGCATTTTCTTAATTTGGCAATGTCCTCTTTGTTATCAAGAAATCTGCGCAGAAAAGAAAAAGAAAACGTTAAAGGAGGAACGAAATGGAGATTCTGAGTACGTAAAGAGAGAGTTTACTTCTCAAGCACGTCAGGTTTTGCAAGTTCTTGTTGTATTTTCTTGGTTCCCGTCAGATGATAAGATATGGAAGGACACTTAATGGCTGATGAACGCTCCATCAGTAGTCTAGCTCTCCATTCCTATAAATAAGAAAACAATACAGACAGAAAGTTTATCCAACAATAAAGCTGATTTGGCATATCTCATGTTCTAACCTAAAGCTTGAGAAAAATACTTCATGTCAATATGAGAAAATCAATGTGCCTTTTAACTATTAAGAGGAGTTACAACCAACCACTAAGGATATTATGTAATCATGGCAAATGATTTAAGGCAAGTATGATGGAATTTTATGTATCGGCCTCATAATTTCTCCCGTTCAGGATCAGGGTGTTTAAACTTTCTCTCCCTTTCCTCCATCGAGAGCATTCCTCATATTCAAACACTTAATTCCATCACATAAACAAAAGAAATGCTTACTGCTTCTGAAGGATAATCAGTTGGTGCATAACCAGCTCTAAAGTATATGACGGCTATCGCATGGCCTCCCCTGCATTTACACATTTTGCAGACATAAGAAACTACCACACAGAAACAGAATCAACAGAGGACGAAAAAAACATCAGAATAACAAATTTGCATGGAAAGACTGTAACATACACAAGTAGTGTTCCATCAGGCTGAATTTCCCCTTCTTTGTCAATTTCTGCCATTGTCTTCCGGATCATTGTAACATTATGTGTGTTAAAAGGCTAAGGAAGAAATTCTGGATATGGTCTCCAAGAAACCACATTATTTTCTACAAAGAAGTATCCGAATTCCAAAAGTTCTTCAGAGTTATGGTTGTATCAAGAACAGCATAAAAGGATATATTTCCTTGAGGGTGAAAGAGAGCCAATGTTGGTCATACATGTTGCGTTCTTCAGGTTGAACAACAATCATGATTACAGCCCTGTCAATGATATATTCACCATGGTTACTTGAACAAAGCTTCATTCACAAACACTGTTGAACAAAATTAAGGTTGTGAGAATTGGATCTAACTTCGGGTTATCATATTCAATCCAAGCTTTGACTAGTGCCTCTGAGAACCGATCAGCAGCGTCATTAGATGGTATTCGGTTAAAATCGCATCCAAGGTGCTCCCCATAATTCCTCAGCAAGCTCCTGAAAAATAAGTACCATTGTGACCCTTTGGTGTCGGCTTTCAATGAAAACGAACACAGCTTCAGTAAAGAAATAGCATCCAACCTAAATTAACTCCTTATGAGAATCGAAAATCAAACTGAAGTGTAAAGTGCAGCAATAGGGAACAAAGGGCAGAGGTTCAAACAGAATGCATTTTCCTGACCTCTGAAGCTCACTAACCATAGAACTGAGACCAGGGAATGATGTAGAGATCGTGTTTAGTTCTATTTGAAGCAGAAGCTTAGTTTGTTCATCTAGCATGTAATCTGAACGGTGCAAACCCAATCGTATCTCCTGACATCCCAAGCATTCATATCAACATCTTCTCATCAATTTGGAAATGCGGGAACAATTCAAAGAAACTCTGAAGAGCATAATTTCAATTAAAAAAAAATTCCAATCAAGCTTCACTTGCCTCTTTCTTGTTAATTTCCAGCATCTTTGAATGGATGTCTAGAAGCCTTGAAGTAAAAGCATCAACTTTCTTAGTTCTACAACATGAATAACGGGAGAATCATCATCAATCACAAGAATCTCCACAATAGCAAATTCACTCTTTTTAGCTACTCTACCAAGACAACAGGATCAGCAAAGCAATGGTAAGAAAGAGCACCTTGATAATGACTCCTGCAAGAACTTCCCATCCAAACTCACACGATCAACGAGTTCATTGAAAATCGGTGCCACTTCAGACGCTACCTTCCATTGATTTTCTGGGAATGCTGTTGGCAACAATGCAAAAGGAGCGTGCACCATTCCAACTCCAGGTACCGTTCCCGATCTCTGTAAAATCAGCAGTAACCCAATTACCAAAAAGTTCCAAACTTTAACCCATTCAAAAGCTGGCAACATTTATGACAAAATGTCTGACAGAACTACACTACATTTAACTCATTTTTCAAACCAAGCTTTTCCAGTCCAACAACAATTAACAGCAAAAAGAGAGAAAGAAAAAAAAAACAAGCTCAATTAACTTGAATTCGTTATAAGATCGGAACCTGGACGTTTCTGTCACCAACAACTAGGCCATGGAGAGAGCTCCAAACAAGGGCATCGTAGACCATCTTTTGGACCAAATCATCATCTAGACTGTGCAAATCCAACATAGGTTTAGAATCACTTCCACCTTCAGTCTCCATCTGGGCAGCTCTTCCGCACTTCAAAGTTGGAGTCTTTGGAGCAGAATCGAGCATGAAAAGCTGTTTGGAAAAGGGGGATTTTGTAGGTTTCTGGAGAGGAGCTCTGCGGAGCCAATTTATTGGGAGGTAATGTGAGCTTGCGTTCGAATGTGCTGATGTGATATGGAAAGTGATTGAGGAAAGGGGAATATTAGCAGTGGGAGGGTGAGGGAGGGCGAGAGAAGAACAGCCAACGCCCATAATAATCACCGCCTTTTCCCTTTAGTGGCTATTTTTGTGGGACTAGGAAAAGAGATTCCAGACTCACTGACAAGTCATAAAAGAGGACGACTTTGGGATATCAATCATCAATTATAATTCGAATGTTACAGAACAAGAGAAAGAGCTATCTAGTCGACTAGGAGAGCGTCTGCCGGTCTAAGACTAACTCCGACCCTGAATGGGGAATTTAGCTCCCCAAATGGCCAAATATGGCTTTTTAGCTCCCCAAACCCACTTTTCACTCCAACCCTATAAAAAGCTAAATTTAGCTTCCCATTTCCATTTTTCAATTTATTTCAATAAACCATACTTATTTGACCTCTAATTTTTATATTTCACTTTAATTTTTTCATAACTCGTTATTAGTTTTGAATACAAATTTTTCGATGTAATTTTTTTTAAATTCCGAGATAATTTTTTTTTAAAAAAATTAGTCGTTAAAATATTACCGTTAAAACTTCGGACGCCAATTAGGTCCTCTCTTGCCTGTCATATTTCTATTTTGAGAGACGATAACAATTGAATTTTGAGAGAATGCGATTTATGCTCTGAGAATGAGTGAAGAGAAATCTATGAAGAGTGCTGTAATATATAAGAAAAAATATGGCCGTTAAAATATGACCGTTTTTTATGGCCGTTAAAATATGACCATTTTTTCGTCACTACATCAATTAAATTCCCAACCAACAAAAACAAAAGTTAAAAGAAAAAAAAAAAACAGTCGGCTGGCGGGGGAGGGCGCAGGACGCGCGCCTGGGCCGCACGTCCTGCGCCCTCCCCCGCCAGCAGACGTTGTATGCACTTTTTGGCAGCCAATTTTCACTTCCCACCCCAAAACCCAGCCAAATTTAACTCCCAAAAACCAAATACTCATATTTTGCTTCCAATTTTTTTGTGGGTTGGAGGAGGAAAAAAAGCCAAATTTGGCTATTTAGCATTTTAGCTCCTTGGGTTGGAGCCAGCCTAAACAGGATGGGGGGCTTGGTTTCAAGAAGGCTCATGAATTAAACTTGGCATTTCTGGCAAAGCTAACCTGGAAGTTTATTAAAATTTCTGAGGAGCTGTGGGTGCAGGTACACCAGGCAAAATACTTCAAATCTGTGAATGGAGTAATTGTGGCTAAGTCGATGGCTCGCACGTCCTCACTATGGCGCGAAATGAGGAAAGCTTGGCCGGTTATGGAGGCAGGGATGCTGATGCGGCTGCGGGATGGAGAGTCTACCAGCATGTGGGCAGACCACTGGGTCGTGCCGGGGGTGGTCCTTCTAGATCACCTGCTCGAAGGATGCCCGCCGATTGACATTAATAGCTGCGTGGTTGCGTTTGCCCCTAACGGTAAGTGGGACCTTGATTTATTGGCGCTCTACTTACCGGAGGAAATGATCTTGCCGATAGCAAGGATTGAACCGCCGAGGGAAGGAGCAGGGGATGATGAACCTATATGGGGCCCGGAAGTACAGGGACAGTTCAGCGTCCGCTCAGCATATGCCCTGGCGGCGAACCTAGAGGAAAGCAGCAGCAGGACGCGTTGGAAGGCAATCTGGAACAGGGCGGGCCCGGAAAGAGTGCCGCACTTTCTTTGGCTAGCTGCACGCGAGCGACTACTCACCAACAGTGAACGGGAGCGGAGGAAACTGACGTCATGAAGCCAGTGCGGAAGCTGCAATGGAGAACTAGAGACAGTCCTGCATGTGTTGCAGGACTATCCTTTTGTCAGGTTAACTTGGATGAAGCTAATCCCACCTTCTGATCATCACCACTTTTTCGGGGGACAGTTTGCAAGATTGGATTGAAAAGAACCTCAAGGCCAACCACACTAGCCTCAATTTTGGCCTTATCTGCTGGTCTCTTTGGAACACCAGGAACGATCGAGTGTTCGCAGGCAAGATCGTGACGACTGAGGATTTCTACAGCCCGTCCAGGCTTGGATAACTGTCGTGAGAAACGCCTTGGACAAGGATAGGCTTCTTCATAAGCCTAATTCGCCCGCTAGAACGGAGGTGGAGATCTCGTGGAAGCCGCCACCTTCTGAGTGGGTCACCCTCAACACAGACGGCTCCGTCGCACAGGACACAGGTCACGCCGCATCTAGTGGCCTGTTATGAGATCATACGGGCAGGTGCCTTCAGACATTTGTGATGAACCTGGGGATGTGCTCTATCACCCGGGCGGAGTTGAGGGGAGCTGTAGAAGGACTTCAGTTGACTTGGGATGCTGGTTATAGACATGTCAGACTTGAGTTGGACTCCGCTTGTGCGATACAGCTGCTATGGAGTCCTGATTCCATGGAGCATCACCATGCAGCCATCATTGATAGAGTTCTTGAGCTGCTTGAGAGACAGTGGGAGGTTGAGATTGCCCACATTTATAGAGAAGGCAATAAGAGTGTCGACTATCTTGCTAGTAGAGGTCACCATGCACCTTTGGGTGTTCATTTGTTTCCGATCTCAGACCCTATCCTGTATAACTGGATCTTGTATGATGTTCAGGTGATCTTCAAACCCCGGGTGATTATGAATGAAAGGTAGGGTGCGGCTGCATCCATTTAATAAAAAAAACTATTTATTTTGATCGGTGTCAAGATCAACAATCCATAGTTACTTCTCTCCATCTTCAATTTTTCATTTCCGTTTATGAAACTAACTTGAGTGTATTTGAATTGTAACTCAAATTCACTTTGATCTTAAATTTTGAGATCGATATAACATGTTCATTGATTTCTAAATTAGGTTTGTGCTAGTTGTTCAACTTGGTTTTAGGCAATTTTGCTTCTGCGATACTTTCTTTTATCCATCTTGATGATCAAGCTTTCTTTTATTGGACTATGTTTGTTTGATGGATTTGGTGAATGATTTGGTGTTGGATTTGGTGACATGATGAACTTTGTACATAATCCATTGTTTGCTTCAAGTATTTAGAGGTAACAAGTCCGTGGGACCCATGAACTTTGAGGGTCCAAATCCGTGCGCCTCACGAATTTCAAAATCTCATCTCTTTAGGTGGAAATTGATCATGGACTTTGAAGTCCATCATTTTTAACCAAACTACCCCTCATTTTCTTTCTCTTGTTATATCATTGAGGGCAATAAAAGTAAACTTCACTTCATGCATACAAATCTAATTAACAAAATCCATAATGAGATAGTGGCCAATAGCTCATTTGAGAGATAGTGGCAAATAGCCAGCGCCATAGTGATGACATTCTACTCTTCGCCTGGTTGATAACGATGTATTTTGCACGTGTTTACACCCTTATTTTTTATCCATTTGCGACTCCTAGTCGTGGATCTTTGGTCAATTTTACACTGGGTTGTGCTATTTTGTCACATTTCAGGTCCCAAGCGTCGAAGGAAAGGCTAGGCGCAAGTTTCAAGTCAATCGGATATCAATTGGCGATTCGGGAGAAGAAATTCGGGCATGACCTGAAGAAGAATGGATTTATACCTCGCTTATGGACAAAGAATCATGCAAACTTGTCATGAAAAGAAAGAAGACGAGACTACGAGCGTCTGGGATCAAACATCGACTGATTCGGAGTCCGGACGAGAGAGAAACGAAGCATTGAATATAGGGGAATATGTTCGACAGTAAAAACAAAGGCAGACTACCCTAAAAACATGGTTGTGTTTCATCTGGCCTCCGCTAGTGTTTTTACTGCCGATGGCGTGTCGTGAGGGCTACTGAGGATCCAAAACACGGGTGCCATGGGTACAAAACACGATCGTGTCACGTCATGGGCACGACTTGTTTTGGGAGCGACGCGGGCGTGTCTGCCTTACTTGATGCAAAACACGGCCGGGCAAAGGCAAAACACGGTCGTGTTCTCGATCATGTTTTGCCCAGAATCGGGTTTTTGAGGTAGAACAAACCCTAGGAGCTATTTGGAGTGGATTTCTCACCATTGAAACCCAGATTGCATCCCCAGGAGTGAAGATCGACATCCCAGGGCAGATTATTCCCATCTTTATGAGTATGACTGCTCTGATTTCTGTTTTCCTCTCTCTCTCTCTATGGAGTAGAACCCTCTCTCACTTAGGTATGAAGAACCCTCGTTCCATGTGTTAGGAATCTTGATTGTAATGACTTTGGATTGATATACTGCTTGATTATAATCGATTGATGCATGATTCATTGAGTCAATTGAAGCCTGATCAACTTTTCTTGATTTCTGTTGCAACCTGAGATAGATAGAATCTGATTAGGTTGTTAGAGCTTCATCAATCGGTAGTATTGAATTGGTTATACGAGAGTTAATCGATTTACTGCTTTGTACTGGAATTCAATTCCAGTAGTAGAGTTCTGTGTTCATTGCCTCAGCAGTCTATCCCGGTGAAGGCTAGTCGCCTGCCGGTTAGTCTGTCTGAGAGGGCTTGGTCAGCTTAAGAGATTCCAAGCTACTGTCGGATCTTCCGCAGTTTAATCAACAGTAAATCAACCAAAGGTAATTACAACTTTGACCTAACTAAGGAGCTAGGGGGATTCATTCCCGAGTGACTCTTCCCCTGATTAAGAATTTCGAACCATTTTCTGCTTTCTTACTGCTTTAGCTAAAATCACATTCACTCAACTTAGTTTGCTAAATAATAAATCATCACGGAGTAGGCAATAGATCTAGACCTTGGGTTTATAAATAGAACTTGCCACTATTCTGCATTTCCGGACTGCGATTACACTTGGTCGCAGTTTGGTGTTATGTTTTAGCGTGCCAAGTTTTTGGCACCGTTTCCGGGGAACTCTAGGTTATTGTGGAAACGTTAAAGTCTGTTATTCTAGCTTTTTCTTTACTGCATTCTCTCTCTTCCACCTTTGTGCCTTCACGGGTTGTGTTTGCATTCTGTGTGCAAGTAGTGCATGAGCCTCAGCCAGTCAGGAGACTTACTGCCATTAGACCAAGAGCGTGAACGGACTTGTAGGAACTTCAAGCGGGCTTTAAAGGCTCAACTAGCTGCGGAGGAGGCGTTAGCACAGCTGCAGATCAACCAGGAGGAAGACATGGGTGAGCCTCAAGACAATGAAGTGGTTGTCCCCGATGAGCACACCATGGGGTATTATTGAACCACCAGAGCTTTGGACATGAGGTCACCAATCCAGCACCCTCAAGTTCCAGCCAATAACTTCGAGGTGAGCGCCTATGTCATCACCATGCTGCGCGGCTCGGTGGTATTCCTTGGAAAAAAGGGGGAGTGCCCCAATCGCATCTGCGGCGATTCCATGAGCTCATCGATGGGATCAAGATAAATGGGGTCTCAGCCGATGCCATCTAGCTGAGGTACTTCCCATTAACTCTAGAAGGGCAAGCCAAGGAGTGGCTAGGCACTCGGCCTCCAGGATCGATCACCACGTTCGCCAACCTGGCGGACAAGTTCCTCGCCTACTATCATCCTCCATCCAAGACGGCGGACTTGCAGAAGCAGATCACCCACTTTGCCCACGAGGAAGATGAAACCATTCGGGACGCTTGGGAAAGATACACAGTCTTTTTCTAAAGTGTCCCAATCATGGGTTCAATGACGCCTTCAAGGTGGGCACTTTCTACCCCGCCCTCTTCCTAGAAGATAAGCAGTTGATTGACTCGGTCTGCGGAGGGAACATGCTAACCAAGACCCCGCCGCAGCTGAATCGACTCTTTGAAGAGATGGTAGAGCAAGGATATGATTGGGGGACTGCCAGGAGATCGAGACGAGCACCAGGTCGGGGTGTGCATGTTGTGGCCACCCAGTCGTCTGAGCTGGTGTAGGTGGTATCAAAGCTGGACTCGGCCATTGATCGTTTTGGGATGGTCCTAGGGACAGGACAGCAGCAGGCGATGCATTGCCAGTGGTGCGAGAGCACCCATCATACTGTGGAAGACTGTCAGGCGATGAGGGAGTCGACTACACCCCATGAGCAGGTGAACTTCATCAACAATGCTAGGCGGAATGACCCCTACAGCAACACGTAAAACGAGGGGTGGCACCAGCATCCCTGACCTCATCAGCGCGATCCTCACGAGGACAAGTAAAAGTATGATTCTGCTTCATAGGAAAATCACTAGGATGAGCTGCACCCAAACCAGCATCATCTAAGATATCGAGGGTATACTTACGCTTGCAGAGAACAATGACATCCGGTGAGCGGGCAACCTCAATTCCAAGGAAATACTTAAGGGGCCCCAGATCCTTAATGCTGAAGCGGTCATGCAAGAATGTTTTGACACGAGTGATGGTATCAAGGTCATCACCGGTCAAAACGACATCATCGACGTAAATCAAAGCGGCAACATACACACCGGGGGCCTCATAGATGAAAAGGGACAGGTCAGCCCGCGAGACGACGAAGCCAAACTCAACCAGCGTACGCCTCAGTAAACTTCGCATACCAATTACGGGATGCCTGGCGAAGCCCATATAAAGACTTTCGCAGTCGACAAACGCGAGTGTCTCCCTCCTGTGCAAAGCCCGGTGGTATACGCATGTAGACTTCTTCGTCAAAGCCGCCATGGAGAAAGGCGTTATTGACATCTAGTTGATGAAGAGGCCAACCCTTCTGTGCAGCAATAGCTAGGAGGACAGACACTGTGACTAGCTTAGCAATAGGAGCAATGGTTTCGTGGAAATCAATGCCCTCCAGCTGGGTGAAGCCCTTGGCATTTAAACGCATCTTGAAACGTTCGGTGGAGCCATCAAGATAGTACTTGATCTTGTACACCCATTTGCAGTCAATCAAGCGTTTCGAAGGCAGCGACTCGAAGGTCCAATTCCCGTTGGCAACGAGAGCATCAATCTCCTTCTTCATAGCGTCATGCCATTGTTGATAACGAGCAGCTTGGGAGAAATGTCGCGGCTCAACCAGTGAAGTCATGGCAGCCAAGAAAGCACAGTGGTTACTCGAAAAATGATTGTAGCTAACATAATAAGATATAGAAAACTGCACATGATGAGATGACGTACCTGGGAGCTCAACATCATAGGAGGTGAGGCGAGCAGGGGGACGACGATCCCGAGGTGGATTAGGGCGGGGCGGCAGCAAAGGGTCAACATCATCACCGTCGGAAGGAACCGTTTCAGGGATCGGAGAAGGAGGCTCCAAGGAGGATGAGCAGGATTCTCCGAGGGATCAAGATAAAGAGGGGAGCTAAGTGGGATAGCCTCGTCGCCCATGGAGGCAACCGATTTCTCGCAGTCGCCAGAAGCTTCTTCACCCATGATAGCTTAAACAACAAGTTTTGAAACGAACGGCTCTGATACCATGTAAAATAGTTGATTGCGGAAAAGAAGTGACACGGATTTACGTGGTATCCCCGAAAACCGAGACTAATCCACGGAGAGCATAGCTCTCGAGAAGAAACTTCACTAGTCTGTAGGATGAGAGTTTTCGGCTAGGGTTCATAACCCTCATACACGAAAATACCAGCCCTCTATACCACTCAATATCACGTGGGTATATGGGCAAATTACCAAATACATCACCATAAAACAAGAAACACAAATGCAGTCCAATATCACGTAAGATTACCAATGCTCAAATACATTCAACGATAAGCAAGAGGTTGGATAACATAGTAAGAAATATAAGTGATTCAAGTTTTTCTGGAGTTAAATCGTATATTTTTGTGTTTAATATGAGCAAAATTGTTGAAGATTAAAATAGAGAAAATTATAAAAAGTGAACTTGTATATAGAATCATTTTGTTCATTATTTGTTTATGATTGATAAATTTTCTTTAAAATTAAATAAAACCATATACTCTTGTACTCGATATTGTTGAAGTCATCAAGAACTAAAAGAAGAAATATGAAATTAAACTTTTTCACATATGTTATTTTTATTGTTTAAGTTGAAGATATGATATCCCCATATCTACATAACCACATCTATCCCAATTGCTATGCATATACATTTGAAATGAATCGATTAATCATTAGCTAGAAGGAATAACTGGCAAAGGAACTTGCTTTTCCACCCAAGTTCTTGGTACCAACTTTGAGAATTGATCTCAAAGGCTTTTCACCATCTCCTTGCCCTTCATATGAACCCAAATTTACATTTGATCCCTTCCTTGTAATCTTCTTCTTCTTACCCACATCTATCTCCTCAACCCTGTCATTTATGCTCACAACTTTCTTGGGTGGTTTTGCTTCAGCAGCAAGCAAACAACGCAAAGAAGTACCCCCTATCGACCTAGCTTCCTGATCTTGTGACTTGATCATCTCAAAACTAACCGATGCATCACTCTTCTCTTCACCGAGATCAGCTCGAGATGTCATTTTGCCATCTTGTTTATGATCACCGCTAGAAGAAGAGCAAAATGTGGCCAAATGATCGGGTTCTTTTGACACATTGGTTTGATCCTTCTCAAATGGAGTCGCTTTAGCAACAGTTTCGCTTTGACCTTTAGCGACGAAATGGTGAGGTTGCGACGACGATGAGCAGCCTAAGGTGACGGTTTTGAAGGCTTGCGTCGCCAGAGATCTCATGATGAAGTTGTAGAGCCTGTTGCATATACTGAGAGGCTCCAGATATTGGTGGTCTCTTTGATCCATTTGCTTTGGAACCTTTTTTTTTTATTGAATGGGTGGGATATAAAAGGGAACAGGGTAAAAGGGATTCCTTCTTCTTTGCTTTGCTTGGAAGCGGCGAGAACATTAAGCCTCGATGGTGAACTCCAATGATGCGGATTCTCTTGTCCCTGAAGTGAAAAGGGTATTTGCAGTCCCTTGTAAGAATACAAAGAAGGTTGAGTGTGAGGAGAAAAAGCACTCATGGATTGCTCTCTGATGCAACTCACCTCCCTCCTTAGGCATCTGTTTCTTGTGCGTGTATCTCAATTTATTGCCATGTTTATTACTTAGCTTTCTCAACTACTCTTCTGGATTTTTATGCGCTCAAGAGATAAAAAGTAAATGAAAACTTATACTTTAAATCATGGTATTGTTATATTAAGTCTTCGAAGTGGAAGGAAAAAAGAGGCGTATCGGCGGCCAGAACCTCGATCAAGATTAGCGTCGTCAGCGAGAACGGCAGCGGCTGCCCCAGCGGAAGAGAAGGAGCGAGAGAGGAGAGGGTTGCCGGCGGCCCGCCGGCGCATGACGGAGCGCGAGACGGTTGAAACGACGACCATGGCCTGCGAAATGAATCGAAGAAACCCCTTCTTCGGATTGAGGGTTTTACTTTTGCTATTATCAATCTGCTGGGGCTTAGGGTTTATATGTCTTTATCAATTATCAGTTTATGGATCTCCAGATGGGATAATTCCTTGTCTTCTTGGCATCGACCTCATCGCCTGTGTGCGACTTTCCGGCGACGTATCTTAGCGGCATTTTGACACGTTGGTTTGCCTGGGGACTATGAAGTCCTTTTATGCTTCCAATTTTGATATGCTCTTTTGCAGTGTTTTTGACATCTGGTTTGCTCCGCCTCTCATAATCCAGAGAGGCTACGGTCTTTTCTCCAGCAAGACATCATGAATACTCATCGCCGCCGACGGAGCTTATGTCTTATAATGACTCCCCGGCCGCATATAGGGACCCCCTGTGTGATAATTCAACATGAGTTTTCATCGTCGTTGTGCAAGCTGATTGGATAGTGCACAATGTGTCTTTCCGATTGGTGAGTTTCTTCCAAGCTTCCGTCGTCTCCGGTGCCGGTGAGGTCATGTATCCCATCGTGTATGAGCCCATCCGCTGGATGCACTCATTCCCGACACGTGTCTTGTTTGTGTTTGTTCTTATCGCTAATCATTATCTCACACAGCGGTGCCAGGCTTAGGATAAGATCTGTAACCATTGATTAATGTCTATGAGTAACTAAATCTGAACATTTAGGTCTAAGTGGGCCTAGAAAATCCAGATCTAAGGGTTGTTAATTAAAATCATTTTATTTTCCCTAGTTTTCATAATCGGCTCTTATCTTCTCCGTTCTAACTTGTTTTTTTTTTTTTTTTTTTTTGCACAGATGGAACGAGTTCGTTGTGCTCTACACAATGAGATCAATTTTCAATATATTTCAAGAAACTTTTTTTTACCAACTACATACCATATGATAACTTTTTCGTTTTTAAGTCGTTTTTGAAAACGTTTGAGGAACGAGTTCATCATGATCTATTGGATCTACAAATTTATGGGTGAAAAAAATACTGGACCAAAAATTACCACACTTTACCACTATGGTATGTGAGTGGTAACTTGTGGTAACTTGGAGTAAACAATGACGAAAGTCGTAAATGATAGTTAGTATACTCCTACTATCATGTATTCAACCTTCCTACCATATTGGTATGTTTATACCATCATGATACGCTTTCTTACCATATGGTATTAAATAGGAGCATACCATATGGTAATGACTGGTAAAAGATTATTCAATTTTTTTGTAATAAAAATATCAAAGTGTATATCATTTTAAATAGCACATTTAATCTAATTTATCTGTGTATAAAAAATTAAATTTTGGCTTAAAACGAGAGAGAAATCGCTCGTTAAAGATAAAAGAGAAAAAGATAAAAGACTTTCCATGATAGAGAGAGATACTGATGTCATGCTGATGTAGACAGATTACTCATGGTTACTAACCTGATCCGTTCCCGCTGTGCCACCAGTAAGCATAGTTAGTAAATACTCTGTTTAATACCCGTATGTGTAGTCGTACGTATTTTATCCGTTTAAAATTTCTGTATCCATATTATTGTGAATCCGTTTTATTTTTTCCGTCATTTGATGTCTCCCGTACTAAACATGTATAAAACCCGTATATCAAGTTTAATATCCGTATTTAATGAATTAAATTGCTAATTTTACTATTATTTACATATTTATTTATTTTTAAAATAATTTAATTTATATATTTATGAATATTAACGTACTATTAAACGTAACATTAGCTTAGAGAAGACGTAAAATACCAGTACGTATTTTATACGTAACTTTCCTATACAATATTTTACTAACTATGCCAGTAAATTTGATATTTTTATGGAAAGTTGGGTCATGGATAGCTCATACCAGGGATAGTTATCCTTTATTTGTTTTTTTTTTAAATTAGTGGTTTATTTGTTTTTTATTTCTGTTGGTACGCTAGTTATTCTTTATTATTTTTCTTTTGGTTCTTTTTGGATTTAGTTTTGTATCGCCTAACTCCATTTACTGCTTTTGATATTTGTTTGGCTCAGAAGACCTCTCGTCCCACTATCCTTCATTTTGGGCCATTTGATCGGGCTAACTCTTTGGGTTCACTTCGGGATGGTGGTTTTGTTGACTGGGTTTAATCTGTCCTCTGGGATGCTGCTGGCTTTAGTAGTTCTTTTTGTAGGACTGTTATTGGCTTGCTCACCCTGTTGAGGGTTCTTGGTGGAAGCTCGCTAGTTGGGCTATATATTCGTTTCATTTTGCAGGTGAAGATGTTCACGCTCGTAGACGTGGGTGTAGGTGCCACGATGCCGACACATTGACTATATGGAGCGGGAGTCTTCCTGCCAGATCTTTATGGATTTGCTTCTCTGCTTCAATTTTCAGCATGTTTAGTTCATGATTTTGATCCTTTAAGGGAAGAAATCATGATATTGCCCATGTCGTTCAGGTATCATAGGGCTGCTCATATCGTGACAGTAAAGCCCTATTTTTCATACCTACAATGTTCTTTCCTTTTTCATTTGTGATTGGACCTGTAAAGGTCATGTATATTATTATATACTTCGTATCTGTTGTTCCCCTTTGGGGATATCTATAGCAAAAAAAAAAAAATACTCTTCTGACAGAAAGCTGGTTGTGTTTAGCATGCATTTATCTCATCATCGACACCCAATTCATTCGATCGGAAAATAACATCTGAAGCGTGTTTTGACATCAAACAGTAAGGATCTTGAGCTTTCTTATATATGAATTCATCTAACAGTTGCCTAGTTCATGTTCTTCATTTTGTCTACTCATACCACTGACAACTCACTAAGTTATTTGGTGACAATAGAACCACTAGTGATCCCTGCAAGCTAAATTGAAAAGCTCATCTCCATGTGAAGACAATACCAGAATCTCATTATTTCTGATGTGGAATTTAAGTCTTGGACTTTGCGAGTAGGATCCTGCTGGCATGGTGATCAGGCACTATAATTAACCTAATATTACAAAAATTGGCAAGAAAAGTCATCTTGTTGCCCACCAAGGTGTATATTTGTTTGTACCCTTCATGTGGATGATAGGGTACTACTTCGACGAAATTCGACCACAGAGCCGCCAGACAGCATCGTTATTGAAAAGGAATTTCTCTAATACCCAAATGTCACGGACAAGGACCTAGAAAGTTCAAGTATGAGTACCTTATTAATGGAAAGAAGTTGCAACCGAGTCAACTAATATATGGGAGAAGTGATAATTATCTATTATCGGGCAGAATACGAATGCACTATACCTCCTTGTTCTGGTTACCAGCTATGACAATACCTTTTGAATCATAAGCCTCAAACTTCTGCAAAGGGGTAAGTAGAAGATGACTGAACCGAAAGAGAACCAAAAGTTCTCGGAAACCCAAAATAGCAATATATTAGCTTCAGAAATGAGACGTTTATCTTCATGGAGCATTTCAAGCATTCTCTATGTAATTGAATTATATGTCATGGTGTTAGAAACAAGATTTCTAACGGGTTACGGTTTGGGGAAATAACTAGATCAACGAGGTGATGATCTAGCTAGGGATTTAGAATGGGAAGTGTTGAAGAATCAAAGAGAGAAGAGGGAGGGTTGATGCCGCGACAGCCTTGGATAGGAAAAGATAGGAAGGAGACGTGGGGAGGTTAGGAAGAGAGGAAGAGAATTATGTTTGATAATTGTGATATGTAATTGCCTAATGGGAAAACCCCACTAATTACAAATTATATATAGTCCTAATAATATTTGTTCCCTACTCAAACCAAAATGACATAACAATCGACTCCTCAATTATTCCCTGAATGTCCCAAATAATCCCCAAACATAAAAAACCGATAGATAATACCGAATAACAGAAAACCGCAATTAATAGGTTTCTAACATCCCCGCCTTCTTGAAAAACAACCTTGCCTTCAAGGTTGTAGCTCCTACTCCAGCTCTGTAGGTCTTACTTCCTCCGCTTCATCCTCTGCCTCGTCTTCCCAGCGTCCCACCAGCATCATCAAGTCCGATTTGGCACATTTGTGTCCCACTGTGAACCTCTCATCGCAGTTGACGCACTTTCCTTCTCTTGTCTTCTGCTCGATCTCTGCCGGTGACAGTTACACAAATCCCTTTGGCGGCGACCTAAGTCCCGGGCACGTTGTGTTGGTCGTGTCGATCGTTGTCGAGCCCGCCCCGGCAGGTGTGCTCCCTCCTCCGCCGCTAGACCCGATGCCACCACCCCCACTTCCGAAAGCCTTCGGAAAGCACCCAATCGTGCTCCTCCAACTTGCCAGCTCCTCTTCCTTGTGACTTGCAAGACGAAAAGCGGTCCTCAAAGAATCCGGTTCGAAAACCTTGACCACAGCGGCGATCTCAGGCTTCAGACCGGCCATACACAACCCAACCAAGGTCTCCTCTGGTACACCCTTGAATTGGTTGCCCAGCTTGAAGAATTCCGCCTTGTATTCTACCACCGTCCCCGTCTGACGTAGCTTTGCCAGTTGGTCCGGCGCCCACCCTTCCGACTTACCGAACTGGTACCGCAACTCCTCCTTGACCAAGGTCCAGGTGATTAAAGTCTGGACAGCTGCGCACGATCGCTCTAACCACTCTCACCACTACAGTGCGTCACCCTCTAAATAAAAAGACGCTAGATGCGCCTTTCGCTCCTCCTTAGTGGGATGGTTCTTGAACCATTTGTCAGCTGCATACAACCAAAGGCCGCATCCTCTTAACCATTGAATTTTGGGAACTCAATGGTAGGAGGTTTAGCCCTAAACACAAGGTCACCATCAAAGCCACGAGGGTAGCCGCCATACCTGTCGTAAACCAAGGCTCGGTCATGATAAACCCGTTGAACCTGCGGCTCTCTACATCGACCCCACCCCTCATCTTTCTCGAACGGATACTCCGCATACTCATCCAGTCCGCCCTTCTACGCCTGCCTTGCATCCCAATGTCCCGCCGGCGATCGCCCTTCTGATCGGGGACCGTGGAAAGGTGGATAAGAGGGTCCCGAACCCCTGCCAAACTCTCTCCTGGCTTCTGGTCCCCTACTACCCGCACCACCTGGTATATGGTCGGTTCGATTCCGGTTCATCCCGTTCCGGTCCAACCCGTTTTGGTCCACCCGAGTCGAGTTGGGTCGGTTTGGCCTGCTTCGGTCCACTCGTCCCGTGCCGGGCCCCACCCAGGTGGCCCATCGGCCTCTCTCATCGGGCCCCGCCCGATTGCATTCTTTCCTGGTTTGGCCCAACACTTTGTTTGCCCGGCCAGGCCCAGCTCATCTTCTTCTGGGTCCGTGCCCAGCCACCCAAGCCCGTTCGGTTCCTTGCCACGACCCAACTCCGCTCCTTGGCCCACCGAATGTGGCGGCGCAAAAATCAACTGGGGCCCAAGGTCGTCATAGCCTGGCATTTTTGCTTTTCCCCGTATTGCCATGATCTCTTGGGCCGACGGGGTTGGTAACAGGCCCGACCCACGGCTTCTCCCACGCGAGTCGTGGCCTGCACGATCCGCGTTTGTCGGCTCCACATCTGCTGCCTTTACCCCTTCGACCTTCACCGCTTCTCCTGCCAGCGCCGCCACCGTTTTCCCTCGGAGCCAGTGCACCCGACTCGGTCGAGACCGAGGTCGGTCTCGTCGTGTTGTCTGCTTCGGTCTCCTTCACTTGCAACGATGTGACTGCCTGCGTGAGGTTCTCCAGCATTTGGCGAAGCCCCTCAGCATCCGCCTTTGCCTCGGCCTGCACCCTTGCCGGCCCTTCTTTGAGCCGAGCCAGCGCCCCTAAGTGTTCTTGCACCACCAACCTCACCGCTTCGAGCTCCGTCTCGTCCTCCATCACGTCGTCGGTGCCCCTGTCTAAGGCCTTGGTTGTCTTTTCGGTGGCCGCAGCCTGAGCCGCCTTGTCTACTGCTGTCTGCGACTTTGTTTGCACCATCGTCTTCTTTTGTTTGCCCTGGTTCAAGAGTTATGAGAAACCCACTCTCAAACTTAGCTCTTATACCAAATGTTAGAAACAAGATTTCTAACGGGTTACGGTTTGGGTAAATAACTAAATCAACGAGGTGATGATCTAGCTAGGGATTTAGAATGGGAAGAGTTGAAGAATCAGAGAGAGAAGAGGGAGGGTTGTTGCCGCGGCAGCCTTGGAGAGGAAAAGAGAGGAAGGAGACGTGGGGAGGTTAGGAAAGAGAGAGGAAGAGAATTAGGTTTGATAATTGTGATCTGTAATTGCCTAATGGGAAAAACCCGCTAATTACATATTATATAGTCCTAATAATCTGTGTTCCCTATCCGAACAAAAATGACATAACAATCGACTCCCCAATTATTCCTCGAATTTCCCAAATAATCCCCAAACATCTAAAACCGAAAAATAATCCCGAATAACAGAAAACCGCAATTAATAGGTTTCTAACAATGGAACCCTGTAAAACCCATTCCTTTACTAAAACATTGTTTCAGTCAGGTAAATCTTGGAGAGACCTATAAGAAATAACATAATCTATGCAAAGACCAATCGCCAAAGGAAAACAAAGCATGTAGAACTAAACATGGGCAGCCTTTACTTGTTTGGTCAAGAACTCAAGTGTTAGTTGTATGAACGCTTTATTAAGATCATTTTTATCAACACCAATCTGCCATCAAACAAGTAAAGAAATGCAATGTTGGTTTAGCATAAAGAAAAATGAGAAATTACTGCTGGAATACAATGAAAAGGTTGTGCGTCATGAAGCTACAACTCCAAATTAACTGTCAATGAGGTATGTAAGTTATTTAAACAAGTCAAGAGCAAATACGTGCCAGTCGGGCTCTCAAAGTCTGTATCTTGACAACTGGTTCAACCATTTCCCAGTATATTCTACTCCACCTTGATTCTCTGTTCTTGATCTCATTTTTAAGTTACTGCAAGAAAAAGGGAGTGAAAAACAATAGAACCCGTGGGACTCAAACATTGACACAGACCGGAGATGGGGAGGAAGAATAGTTATGCTCCATTAGTAAGATTGTAAAGCACGACAGCCTACCGAGTACATTTTCTCTGTAACTGCTTTCCTAATTGTGGTTTTATCTTCGTGTGCCAGCAGAATGTTTATCTGAGGAAGAAACAGGAAAACGAACAATGGCAGCTATTAAATCGATGCTCATGCTAATAACAAGTATTTGACAGAAGGATGTAAACTGACTTCCTTGTATAATCGAATGGCATCTTGGTAGAATTTGTTTTTGGAGTATCCAGATTTCCTCAGCTTAGAAATTGCATAGGCACTTTTCATCTGTAGAAAAGAAGAAAAAACAACACTTGACGACACTATGTTGGTTTTATTGCTTCATTCGTGTAACAGACGAATCAACAAAGACTTATGCAAAATCTACGATGATATCCTCTTTTGTTCTTCTCCAACCACATCTGGTGAACCATCTGAAATGAGAAAAACATGAACAGGAATGAGATCTTGGACTCATTTTTCATTCCAACATACAGATTACAGTTGTGTTTAACTTTGACTTAATCATCTTACTTCATGGATTTAAGCAAACCCAAAAGCAGCCCTCGTCACTTACCTTTTCCAAAACGAGATTTGTTCACGTGGTTCGTAAGGTTCATATACGAGCCCTGGATTTGACATGGACACTTGAGCTCCCTGCAATAAAATTGTTGCAAAGTGTAAATCCCCCCACTGTTGAAAAATATACTTCGTCTACAAATATGAATACCAAATGCTTATCAAACTAAGCTAATGAACTTATTGGACTAAAATACATGGAAAATCCAACAATGGAATACCATCGGTCTTGCTTGCGGTGGTGCTTTAACCTGCGATGTAGATGACTCGCTAAAACACAACTCCTAACAGTGGCCAAGTGTAACCAATGAAAGGGACTGCAGTATATTGGTGCAAGTAATAAATATCAAATCCACGAGTCTCTAGAGTTACTATTACTCAGCTTCAGTTTGTTATCTAACAAACAAGATTAAGAAAGAAGAACTATAACTACTCTAGCAAACTAAAGTTAAAGTTAATCTAATTACAGGCTGGGAACTCACTGAGGTATGATTCCACCTAGCCACTAGCCAGATTAATGATTGATGATCTTTAACCTGTTTCACTTTCATTCACAATGCAGAGAATCTTTGACTAGACCTTGAATCTCGACTAAAGGATCAAGGCCCTCTTGAGTCAATTTCCTAGAGGGACGTATCCTTCTCTAGAACAACCGATCAAGGCGTTCTGAACTAGATTCCCTCTATCGAATAAGATTCTCAATCGATACAAAGCAGTGAATCGACCCTCGACTAAAGCAATCGATCTAATACTATCAATCTATGGTGCTCTATTGATCTAATCAGGTATTCGCTCTCATAGGATCAAAGCAGAATCAATAATTTCGATTAAAGAAGAATTAAACAATCTCCATCTCCACGCTAGATTCCCGAGCTCCAATGGTGAATAAATCCTCCAAATAACTCAAAGAATTATCCCAAGTTGCTCTCTCTCTCTCTCTCTCTCTCTCTCTCTAGGGTTCGTCCCTTGGGTGTTTTGGGATCCAAAACCCAGCTCTCCGCATCTCCAAAATCCGAAATTGGGTTAAAATGCAGCTGCACGCCATTACACAGTCAAGCCGCACGGCCGTGCAACATCCTTGGATGCCCGTGCAACCAAAATGTAGTGTTTGAATTAGTTCCGCGAGGGGAGTGCACGGCCATTGCAAGGCTCCTGCAATCCGAGAGCCTGGCCGTGCAGCTTCTTGCAGAATTCATCACTGCCAGAAAATAAGTCGTGCACGGCCGTGCACACCCTGGCCACGCATCTTCGCTTGCACGACCACCATGCATGGTCGTGCGTCTTCCCGGACTGGTCGTGCAACTCATCTGCTGTCCATCGCTCGTCCCATCTTCTCCCAATCGACTCCAAACTCTTGTTCAAACCTTCATTCACACATTAGGACCTGAAATGTCATAAACAAGAACAACCTAGCATAAAATCGGCTTAAACCCAAGATCAGAGCCTCAAACAATATAAGAATGGTGGACAAAACATGTGTAAATATCGAGTCATCAAATCCCCCCACACTTAACCATTTGCTTTTCCCCAAGCAAACCAAGTTAGACACAAGGCCAACTTACAAATGTTTTCAGTCAAACAGTTTTAGGGACACGACACATGGCAAAAAACATAGTGATCTCCACAGATGACTAGCACCGACATACAATCAACAGCAACACCAACCTCAATGACTACTCAGATGACACCCAACTACAGCAAAACCATGCAAAGGAAAAATCAGACTACTACTGTTCACATACCAAAATGTGACAAGCCCCGTCTACCCATGCATCCCAGTTAACCATGAATAACGTTCAAACAACCAGAATCAAACGCAGAGCAATCAAGGCCTTCACCGGGATATAGTATAAGGAAAAGAATCGCTCATTCTCGACCAGTGGGGTCAGGACATTATGGTTCAAATAATGTACACATTCATTCTCTCACTCCTACCGTCTCTTCGCCATGATTGCAGCCTCTAAGGGTTAGAGTTCACAAAGCTGATATTACCACTAACTTGTCAGGAGGACTTGACCGGGTTCAGATGCACTGGTTAGGGTCTAGGACATGGGGAACATGATTTTTCAGTGGTGGTAATTTCAAGCACAAAGTCCACAGTTCCAAATCAAAACGGCACAATCAAAACATCAATAAAATAGGTTGCACATCTCTGCTATCACTGCATTAGTCAATTTCCAGACACAAGAATGTAGGAGGTAAAAATTATGAGAGTGTTCAAAGCCAATTCGCTAAAATACACTGGTTAATGAGCATTTTTCATTTCTTTTGTGGTGGCTCTTTGTTTCCATTAATTTTTTTTCTTTTTTTTTCATTTTTTTTTTCATTTTCTAGAGACACAAACTTGCCACCATGCATATGCTCAATCCTTTAAGAACATCCTCCTAAATTCATTTTCAAAGACAACAGATATCAAGCACAAATCACTATTTGGAAACTCTGCAAAGTCAATAAAGGGTTCTATACTAAAGACAAAGAAGACAGTCACAAGGCTCAAAGGGGCTGACTAGGGGATATGACACACCAAGACAAAAAATTTGGTCGTGGGCTATTCCTATGCCTCCGCCTTCCTCATTAGTGGTAATCACACAGAAAGAAACGAACGACTTAAATCTCACAAGGCTTGTCTACATGCTCTATCTCTCCTTCTGGTTTCCTGAACTAGATGCATAGAAGACTGGGGACAGTGGGTCGGTGATTCATGTCACAAGTTGGTTTGCAAACAAAAGTCAAACTGAACCCCTACACACTTCTACTACAGTTCTTAGTCATCATCATAGTCATCTCGGTCACAAACAAGCCATTCATGCGACAATACTAACCATCATCATATATCATAAAACAAACAGGTGCCAATGTGCTCATGCAAGAGAAAACATTACTAAAATCAAAAGACAAACTAACTCAACCGAAGAGAAATAGGGAAAGAAAGTGCAAATCGACTGGTTGGGTTGCCTCCCAACAAGCGCTTCTTTCACGTCGTGAGCCGGGCGGTGGCTCTTAAGTTTCGGTCCATGCTAGAACCTCCTTGAAGTTGAGGTTCTCGTTGACGAGGCAAAGTCTCAAGTCACGAGCATGTGGTATGACAGGTGATGTAGGCTCGTGTACTTGATGAATATGAAGTCTCCACCCACGAGACCTCTTTTTCTTCCTCTCTCGACTCGTTGCCCCAAACCAGATATGACATCATCGACTGACCACCATCGCATCCACCAAGAGGTACCGTTGTCGATGTGGCCTTGTTCTGGCAAAAAGACACTGCAAATGGGTCCTTTCCAAGCAGCTTCTCAAAGTTTGGTGGAGATATCACCTGTAACTCATGGCCGGTGAAAGCTTCTTCCACCTCAACTTCGTCTTACGCCTGGACGCCTATTGCATCTTCAACTCCCCTTCTGTCCTCATTATTTGATTCCTCCCCTTGGAAAAGATCAAGAACTTCCTCTGATTCACCTCCTTCATTCTCCACAACTTCTTTCGTCATCCGTTCTTGCTCTTCTTCTTCTTCTTCTTCTTCTTCTTCTTCTTCTTCTAGCATGGATAGGAGAGCAAGTCGCCATGCAATCTTTTAAATAAAATCATCTTGCATCTCCTCACTCATGCCCACCTCTTTAATGCTCGGTGTGGGATGCGGAAAGGTATGGTCGGCTACAATAGGACATTCCTGCTCATGATCATCACAGAGCTCGTCGTGACAAACTTTGTATGCTCCACGATGTCCTTGTAGCCTTCGTCTTACTCCTCTTCTAGTATGGTAGCAGAATGGTGATCTTGAGCAAGTTGTGCACAAACTTGCTCAACCCGCTCTGTTTGCTTTGCTGAGTGCGAAACAGTCTCCTCCGATTCACGATGGGATGAAGAGTTAGGAGGATCAACAGATTGGAAAAAGAGGTACATCTTGCGATTGTGTCTCTCGATGTCCCAAGCAAACTAATGTATGAAAAGTCCCAATTGACTCAATTGACTGTTCGGATCTGGCCTTGGAGTGTAGCATGGCTCTGCAGAATAGCCCGTGAAGGCCGCCATGGCTAACTCCAGCTTCGATGGCCCTTCTGGTTGTGGGAGGAATTCTTCTTGATAAGGATACTATTCTTGAAATGTCCAAGGGCCTGGTTGTTCTCCGTAGAAAGGGGGTTGGTACTGGAACCCGAATCCATAGTCTTGTCCTCCTTGATTGCTCCAGGAAGTCTCGGGGTAATACCACTCGGATGGTGGTGGATACCCCCAATGGTTGGAGAATCCATGAGGATCCATGATTCAGATCTGTACCAACAAAAACACCCA